AGTCTTCGACACAACTGTTCCGAACTCCAACTACTATGAGAAGAAGAAGAAATACTTCGATGTGCAAGGCCAAGGTTTTGTGATCCATTTTCTAATTCTAGTTTTGCAGTTCCTAAGGTCCGGTGTCAAATATAGACTTTCATTTTTTGGTTTGAAGCAAGTACTAGTACTTCTGATAACACAAATGCTTGGGAGTCTCCACATCTTGCAGTTGGGGTGGTCATCTTCTCACGGTGAAGTTAGCAATATTATGAAAGAAAGCGAACGCCAGCACTCAAGCTTTGAATGATTTGGGTATCAGACCCGGACTCGCCACTCTTTTCTGAGGTAGTTTGGAATGGTCTACTGTCAACCAATGATACCTGCATTCATATTCTATTTGAAACCTACTGCAGACTTTTACGCATTATTTCACCTTTCGTAAAATGAAAGAGAGTAAACCTTTTTTCTCTCAATCCTGCTGACCTTGCTCGATATTTGACTAGCCGCCCCTAGAAAATTGATGGCTCAGTCCTGCTCACGACCCCACTAGACCATTCGCGGACTGTAAAGTTCCACTTACACGGAAGATATGTTGCTGGCTGCTAGAGACGATGAAAATTAACTCCAATGGAGTCGGAGCGTGAAGCGCACAAAAGAAACAACCCCTAAGCGACCCGGGATTCACAATAGACGACCCCTGGCGGCCGCCGCTTAAATTACGCACACATGTCGCGCCCGGAAGCTTATCGGCGTGTTAATTTGCGCGTATTACCGCCGTCACAAAGATGGCCGTCGGAAAACGACGGGCCCGTTATTAATCGGATTAAGAGTGTGAGGTCGCGGACCGACGCGGTAGGCATGAAATTAAAAAAAGGCAGGTTTTAATTACACTTGCACGGTGTGCGAGCAGCGCAACGTTGACTTTTTTTCTGACTTCTGTCTATACAGGGAGCAGGTTCAGGAAAACAATTGACGAAAAATAAAATAACAATAATGATAGTGTTTATTAAGAGATTTCAAGTTCGTATATATTTATTATAGCTAAAACAACGATCAAATTTACAATAAACATGATGGGGTATATTTTAATTTTTGAAAGAAACTTTCACAGGCAACTGTATTACTACTTACAAAACTTCTGGATTCCCCCTGCGTCGATCATTGTTGGTTTCTTCAGAGCTTCACTGAAACTTTAACAGGAGGAATCCAGAAGCTATGTAAAAAATAAGCTAACAGCATGATTGGCGAAACGTTAGCAAGTTCCACTCAAGAACAACCGAGGCAAAGAGGAATCCAAAAGTTTTGTAAATAGTATCTACAATCTTTTCCTTTAGGGCACTGTGAATTTCATACGAAAATACAAAACGATTCTTCAATGTAATAATCTTAACTAAGTAAGTAAAAATTGAAATAGGCACTTAGTTTCCAGAAATTTCAACGCAATAATTTTTTTAATATACCATCTAACCTTCAAAAAACATAAACTTATCGTGATTTTTATGAAGAATTTTTAAGAATGGACAGTAAAATGGAAGAGAGCATACCAGCTTAGAAGGAATATATGACTCAGAGGGTCTTTTTCATTCTTTAAAAGTTAATATATGCTTATTTGCATATAGCGTTTTGAGGGCTATGAAAAAACCCTTTTAGATAAATTAGACTGTAAATTTAAGATCTTTTTTTCTAATTGTAGCTTCTAGAGATTTACTGTTTGAACAATATCGAGAAAGGCTTTTAAGATCCAAATTAAGATTGGTTTCGACATTATCATAATTAGCTGAGCTTTGTTTGTGCAATAGCTGAGTGTTTCAGCAGTGGATTTGAGAAAATTCGACCACCTCAGACATGTCAGGGGCCCAAGAATTGAATCCCGTGGCACACCTGAAATAACTTAAAACGAATCTGACATACCGCTATTATTTCTAAAAAACTACCAAGGGATCCAACAGTGAATCCCAAGTGAGATCAGTATTTTTTCAGTATTTCGCCAAAAGCCTTACTGGTTTGATGCTATTATATTATGACTACCTGTATACAAAAGTACTGGCTGATGAACAATCTTTATCAACACCTTGCTAAGCATATACTGATGGATCTAAGATCATTGTCGAAGTTCTAAGCGAGACACGCTTTACATCTGCTACGATAAGACTCATCCGTCAACGAAGGCGGTTTATGAATTCGTCCGAAGTTGTTCGAATACGGCTCGTCACACCTCTAAGTAGTGGGGGTAACCCTAACGGGTTGTTATTTTAAGATTTGCTCAGGACGATTAATCAAGAGACGCGTTAGTCGTTTGTTACGGCGTCATCGTCGGAGGTTTTTCCCGACGAAGACGCTGTCTGTTGTCTGGCGGGTATAAATTTTCATTAACGTCCTCGGGATATTCTTTTAGCCGAGGACGGAGTCGGGATTCTGATATACCGACTTGTACGGCCTTGGGTAACAGAGGTTAACTAAATATATTTTATTCTCTGAAAAAGAAAGCTCAATATCCTAAACTCGACAACGGATAACAACTCGCTAACTCTCTTCACTTCACAACAATTAAATGACAGAGATATGGTCGATTGCGTCAGTTATGTCAGGGACCGCAGTATGCAAGAGTCAATCTACTTGACACGGCGACAGAGACGAAATGATTAAACAGATATTAACTCTAAAAAGCAACAGTAAATTTAGTAAAGATCATCAAACTTCGATAGGTCAAACATCGTTAAGTCGAATTTTTGATAAGTTGAACCGTTATGGGACAAAATATTTTGGAAGACGAACTTCGATAAGAGAAATATTTAAAAGAGACCATACAAAATTGTTTCAAGATGTCTGCTCAATTTTCTGCTTGGAAAGATGAAGATGATCTTCAACTAACATTTTCGAATAAAAATTTGGACTTCATTGAAAAAAGTTGGGTAAAATGTAAGTACTAATTTCATAAACAAAACAGTCTTGTAAATCCTTGCAATTCATCTGAATGTTATGCATTGCGCCAAAAACTAATAAGTGATTATAATATATAGTACAAAATTGAAAAAATGAAGAAAATACAGATATTTATTACTTATTCTTACATATAGTTTAGATTTTCCTTTCTCGTTTCAATCTCTGTTTCTTTGTCAGTTTCGTTCATAGTGTTCAAATATTTAATTTTTGTGTACTATCATGTATATATACGTTTCAGTAAAACTGTTTATATCTAATAAACTACTATACAATATCGACTTACGCAATGTGAATTCTGTATACATTCACTCAGTTTAGTTGACTCCAGAGAACTAATTATACCAACGAATAAAAAGGATCACTTTAAAATTTATAGATTGCTTGGCACCAAATTACCAAACTAGAGATGCGCAAGTGTATGTAACAAACACACAAACAGTAGGATTTTTATTGTTAAGCATGCAGATGTGTTTGTTGGATTTTCGAGATTTACTTGACATTGATTATATGTTGGCTTCTAGGACTGATTATTGTACACATATCACCAGTACTGCATAAAATAATGGATAACATAATGAAAATAATTAATGCTGTAATATTTGTTTCTGTGAACAAGTACAGATGCCTCTGGCATCTAGGTGCGACTTATCGTAAATCGTTTTTTAAACAAATACATTTGTAAAAATTGTAATTTTACCAGTAAATAACTAAAATAAATGTTTTTGGTTCCTTTCTTTTTTCCAGTTCCTTTCTTCTGCCAGTGTATTATATATTATTATCGTGTGAAGAGACTTGCAATAAAGAAATGTTAGGTAAAACCCTGCATTATAAAAAAAAAGAAGCAAAGGTAAAGTTGTCCCAACATTACAAAATTTTCTTCCTCGGACGACGTGGCATCGTTGCCCGAAATCCGTGACGTCTGGCGGCGGCAATAAAATGAATTATTAAATTCGCATTATCTATATGCGGCGTTAAACGCGCGAACGTTGTTTCGCGAAATACGCAACGCAATCGTTATTAACGTCCAGCTAATTAAATAAATTTTTAACGAAAAACGCAAACTGCGTCCGTTTGCCGGTTGGTGATTGCGATAAAACGCTTATATATTTTTGGTCGCTGAACTTTATGCAGTTGTTATTTGTAATAACGATAAATACTGGAAATTAGATTTTTCGTAGAGAAATTTTTGAAATACGCAATTATTTGGGAAATTTAGTTTTGGTCAGTCAGCATCATACAGTCATCATATTATAGAATTTTATGTGACATTTCAAAAAAATATAAAAAAAATAATTAAAATCCAATACCAGTTCCTGCTAAATAAATTAATAGTAATACTTACGTAATATCCTGTAGATCCTTTTACCAATTTCTTAAACCAAAGTTGGATAATCTTAAAATAAAGGACATGAAAACTGTTCCCTCAATGAAAAGCCTCTCTAAGTATACCTCCTGTTAAATTTAAAAATTTGTTTCAGGCTTTAGTAAAACGTTTCCCATTTAATAGTGATTTTCTTACTTCTGCGTTCTTATATCTGGAATGAGTTTTTGTTTGTCTATAGACATTGCCAATTATATTCGGATTTCAGAGACTGATTTTGCGTTATTATAAAAATTAGTAAATTTTTTCAGAAAAATTACGGCAATGTGACAACTCAGTTAGTTGTGGGTGACGCACGGGCAATCCACACCTCTACGAAAATATCATAGCCGCCTGCAGCGCATCAGTTTTTACCGCACTAGGCCCAGTATATTATCTTATAGCTATATGGTAGTGACGCATTACCACCGTCGAATCAAACTCCCTCACCACTCGCGAAATCAAGCCGTCAACTCCGAAACATTATCGGAATGATTTTAACCGTTATGACGTAGCATTAAAGGCGCTTCCGTGACTCCGCAGCGTTAAGGCGAACCGGTCAACGCCGCGCCAAAGTGAACAAATTGTTATTCTTCGGTTCCGTGCTAAGCGACGTTATAAAAAATGCGGCTTTAAATAAAATACAAGCCCGATGAAGTGGCGCAGTCGGCGGGAAAATATTCCGATCGAACGATAAGCACGCACGTTTAGTTACCGGTAATGGTCCAGAGTTCCTTGAGGCAGTCGTCACGGCTCTTCTGGAAATCGACGTTGGGATGGTGATCGGTACCGCTTTCCAAGAACTTGAAGACGACCGCGCCGAATAGAGCGTAGCCCGTCATCAACACGAAGAGACTCGTTTTTCCGCAGAATATCGCCAACGAACACTTCTTCGAGCTGGGATGGTCGTCATAGCCGGAATTTTGTTCCATCTGAAATTGTAAAATGAGAAAACTTCGATTTTCAAAATAAACAAGAAGAAATTATATGTCACATTTGATAAAGACACGGTGTTGTCGAAACAATTGTCGTGTCAAAATATATAATTTCGCGAAAATCTGAACTTTTAGTTCTTATTTATATTGATAAATGGATTTTCATCAAGTAAGAGCCACCTCAGTTCAATTTCGATTTTCGTTCGCGAAAAACTTGCAACAACTTCAAGGCAAGCAACTTATATATTGGAACGATGAATTAAAGACAAAATGAATGTGGCTATAATAGATCAACAGAAGCATAAAGCACAAGAATATTGTACAAATGATTACACCTAATGAGCGGAAAGAACACTAGTCGATGTTACTGCAAATCGTCAGGAATATATTCAATAAAACCTAGAGACAACAACGACAACAACGATAGCTGAAGCTGAAATCACGAAAGAAGATATAAGCAAAGCCTCGAAAAATTCAAAAAACAATAAAGCACCTGGCCCAGGAAATATAAAAATGGAGCTGGAAGTATTATTTAATAAAATTGAAAAAGGAGAAGAAATTCCCATTTTATAAGGAAGTTTGACATTTTGAGGTTAGGTTTACTTAGTTAGGTTTTGGCGAAAGAGTGTTGTTTGTATTTTTTGTGATAAATTAAAGAAATTTTGATGGTTAGTTTTGGTTAGTTTGGAGTTAAAGCACCATCTAGGACTACTGTTTATCGCGTGGTCGTCCAAGAAAACATTGATGCAGTGCGGAAACTGGTTTTGCAGGATCGTCATGTGACTTACCATAACATTGAGGTATCTTTAGGCAGACAATTTTGTATGAACAATTCGATTCCACACAATTCAGTGCAAACAAAGAACTTTTTGAGCATTAAAAACGTTGATTTGATGAGCCATCCACCATATAGTCCTGATTTAGCACCTAATGACTTCTTTTTATTCCCATACATTAAGAATAAATTTTGATGAATGGTTGGTTTTATTGGTCATATTTGTTGGTAGTTTATAGCGCAAATATAGAAATCTGAGAGTAGGGACTGGAATGTAAGAGAACTGTGGATGATAAAAACGGCGGTAAAGCAAAATGCCGAAGAAGAAGAAGCAAATGAAGTGTTGTCTATGTAAATCATTCCCTTTTCATCGCGACAATGCAACATAATCGTTGAGGATTGTCCTATATGATTTGCAGGAAATCTTTTGGGGTGATGATTTTACACTTGATAAAAAGGTGTGCATCATATCCCGTCCGGTTGTGAAAATTAATGCTCTCTACTCTTCTAATCATGAGTCAATATTGACCAGGAGAGCAAAGAAGGTAGATACGAAAAACATTGGCTACTAAAGATTAATATGAAAAAGAAACGGATAATAATTTGTGCATCATATCCTCCCCGATTGTTTATACAATTTATTTATCGTCGACACTCTTTGCGTGGGCCGCAACATCGATATCAATTAGTATTAATAAATAAAGCGATCGAAGCAGGAAACGAAAGGTTTTTCTTGGCATTTCGCTGATGTCATGTTCACGCCGTCACAGGACAAACACGCTATTTGAATGGGTGCGTCAGATTGAAACCGCGATCGATGCACATACATATTGTAAAAACAACTCGAGGACAAAACCTCAGAACCGCGTCACGACTATTATTTATACTATAACTCGCCGTGGCCGAAGTTATTGAAATTCGACACAATACGCCGAACAATAAAGCAAAGTTCTAACGCTATAAATAAGTTTAGATCTATTTTAAAATGGGCACGAGGGTATTTGCTACAGTACGATACAATACACTAGGATCGTTTGTGACGATGCTTTGGCTTTATTTAACACTCCAACTACTTGTTTACTGCAAAGAGGGAAACAATTTTGCGACTGAAGCATAAATCACGCTATTAATTGCTGCTGCAATACTGTCACAAATATTTACGATAAGGAAAAGTTGCAATTTCAGCCGCTGATATCTTTATGAAAATGAAAAGAGAGGTAAGTTGTTCAGTCGAAGAAGGAACCAATTCTAGTTTAGGGTAGGAGGAAACTGCGATTATTCTATTATACTTTTATTACTCTAAAGCCTTTGATCCGTTTGACCATAAACCTATGGGCGCCAGATTGAGATGATATTACGACTCGATTATTTAAAAACTACTTAGCTAACAGATATCAGAAAGTTGCCCTCGACAACGTAAGTTCTAAATTTCTTCCTGTGTCATTAGGTGTACCCCAAAGTTCAGTCCTCGGACCTAGTAAAATCACATTCAATTCAATTCTTTAAAAAATATTTCGGGTTGAAATTGCTAACTTCTCAAATAATTTTATTTTCAATGTTATTCTTTTTATTTTTATCTTTAATAACTTTCTATTCTTTTATTATAACTTCGTATTCAGTTTTCAATGTAAATATTTAAGATGTTCTTTTTGCGTTACCCGGACTAGTTCGTGCTGGTACCACGTTCTGGTTACATCCATCCCATATTTTTTGGAGATTTTGTAACGGACCGATTTAGCTGCCCTATCATGTCTCTCAATGTATTCTCTCTTTGCTAAGACCGGGCATGCCGAGATATGATGAATTGTTTCATCCTGTTCTTTGCATATTCTGCATTTTGATTCATTATTTTGCCCAGTAACGTTTTTGGAGAAATATTTGGTATTAAGAGCTTAATCTTGAGCCGTTATAATTAAACTTTGAGTTTCTCCTTTTAATGTAGCACGGGTTAGCCATTTCAGACTATTTTCTTTGTGGACGGATTGGTTGTTGAGCATTTTATTAAAGGAGCCAACTGACCAAAAAGGACAATCACGTGCAATTCTTAGATTGATTTAAATGAACGCATACGTGAAATGTTTTCTCGAATGTATTGCATCGAAAAACATATTTGAAGGTAGGATGATCTGTGATCAACTGTGTTCCGACGATCATATTCGTTAAAATTGCAGATAAAATAAAACGGTATATAAAACCGTGTCTATCGTAACCTGCCGAATTGTGAGCAGATGATCATCTCGATTGTACCGGAATATTAAACAACCGTTGTTAGATAAACAAGTCACCCAAAGTCTGGATCCCGTCGTGCGTTCAACACAACGCAAATTGCATTGAATATAATCTCACTTGGTCCGCCTGCAACTGACGCTCGATTGTAGCGGAATTAAAGCGAAATTAAAAACGTAAACTACATTCGGTACGTGAACACGATTCATCCACACGTAGGTAAGCGTTAACAAAAGTTTACATTGTGCCCGCTCTATCTGTCGGACATCCGTGTCCACCCATAATATCTATTGTTTTCGCTGGAATATCGCTTCCGTACGGACGTCAATTGTCGGCGGAGTTTTCTAATTTTTCGCGAGACACCACGGAAATGAGCGCGGCTAATCGTATACGAGCCGGGGCAAGCAAATTGAACCGAATAAAACTCCCCCCAAAGTGGAGTCTTGTCTCGACCGCGCGGGAATGGCAAAACAGCCGAATAAAAGTAAGCAATTTGGCTTTATGACCTTTAATAGTGTTACGGCTGCGTTTTTAATAAAGCCCTCGCACGCCTGCCGCTGTCACGCGAATTTATGGGGGTCCTTTTTTTACCAGTTTTTTTTCTTTCGCTCTATTGCCCTCGCAATTGTTTCCGTCGACGGAATAGGGGTAAACGCACGTCAATTGCAGACCTAAGTAGCCAAACTCTATGAAATGTGTCGGATATGACAATAGAAAATGTTTGAAAATTTATTCGGCTGATGATCACTTTGATCAACTGTCTTATTAATTAATTACATTAATTCCCTTCTGCTTCACTTTTGTGCATTTTTACAGTCTGGCCGACGATATTATTCTAAAATTTAGATTTAATAAAAAGTGTGCATCATATCACCATGGATTGTGCACGATAAGCTTTGAAGTTGATGGTATAGTCTGTCTCAATCTTCATCGTGTTGACTTTCGATGAACCCTCCCCAATAAAACTTTAACCGTGTTATTTACTCTTGTTATTGGGTAAAAATTTATTCTTATACAGGGCAGGGTTGGGCCAGATATATTTCTTTCTTTCTGATATATTTCTTGAGTGTTGACCATTTGTGGCAGTGTCGAATAATCGTTAAAAATGTCGCGTCGAAGTCATGACGCTTGTTGCAAAACAGGTCGTGAAAAATTAATATGAAACTTTCATCAGCAGAGCACTTATTATACAAGCTTTAAAAGAAACTTGTCTACTTACAAAAACGCGACCACTATTAATAGTGGAGAATTGATGAAAAGGAATAAAAGTAGTAATTTTCAAACTCGCCGTATAGACAATAGTGATCAGCACCTAATAAGAAGGAAAATATATTGTCTTTATCAAAGCGATGTTGTTCGTACAAATGGATAAACAGAAAAAGAAGCTAGAAGAAGATGAAAGGCGTGCCACCGTTTGTAAAATGGGACTTAAGTACCGCAAAATAGACAAAAGGCGAGTAGTAATGGAATCACACACGCCCTTGAATATTTAATTACCTTCAAGAAATTAAAAGACAACAGATTCAAAAGTTACCTTTATGAAACATAGTTCGATACGCACGACACCGTATCCAATGGATGGGCTAATTATACTGAAAACTGCCAGACGAAAGCACTTTCAAATTAAGGAAAACGCATTGTCATAATGTGTTGTCTGCAAAGAATGTTGAGGATTCCAGCTTGGATTATCATAAGTGCTGAACTTTTTGAAAATTGGTTTCAAAACAATCTTTTAAAAATTATGCCCAATAACAATGTCATTGTCATGGACAACGCAAACTACCACAGCCGTCTGCTATGCAAGGCACTATCCTCATCAACTCAAAAAATGAAATCCAGGAATATTTGTTAGAAGATGATATTTATTTTGAATTCAGTGACAAAAAACCCTACTAAAAAACAGTATGTATGCGATAATTTAGCTGTTTAATCTCGTAGAGCATTTGTAATAACCATACAAAATTTTATAATTACCAAAACCTTTAAGAGTACGTCC